CATTTATCTTATAAGTAAAAGAAATAGCATAAGTAACAGAAGTAACGGAAGTAAGAAAAGTAACAGAAGTAACATTTTACTTTTCATGTGACTTCGAATCGGGTAGGGATCGTCGATCGATTCGGGCCCCCCGTGATTCACAAAAAACCGGGCTCACAATATCGATATGACAGAATAATCGTCTCTACTCACGTAATGTGAATTTTATTGTATCATCAAAAATCTAAACTTGTAGTGTGCAAATACAGAATCACGAGATGAAGCATTATTCAATTAGATACACTGAAAAGTCTACATTAATATGAATAAATTTTAAAATAGAAAATTTATATGACATAAATAATTCAAAAATCAAGAACACCAAACAAAAACAGGTAAAAACAAGAACGATTTCATGTACATAACAAATTTATATCGCAAACATATAATTCGCATTTTTTTATTGCATGTGTCAATTGAAGTCATGAGGATAGACCAACCAATCAGATGCAAAAGAGATACACCACTTCACTCACCTATAAACCATACACTACGTTGTACGTTGTACAAACTCCATCCTGGTATGCTTAACAATACAAGCATTTATATAAAGATAAAAGGTTTATTATTAAGATAAGAATACCGTAAAATTGAAGCAGTTATGTTAAAGTTTGAGACACCTTGTTTTAATTCTCCGTTCAATAATATGACACATTCTTTGGTTTAATGATAACAATTTTTAAAAATTCTTTGAACTTTTTATAGTACAATGTAAGTTCTTGAAATGCTCGAATTTGTTTAATAGGAATTGAATAATCTTTAATCTTTTTAATTATTTCATTATATATCCTTTTTCCCATTTACTTTTTCTAGAAAAAATAAAAAACATTGTCTTCAATACTGTTTAAGTCTTCGAAGGTATAGAATCTTTGGGCAGACTACTTAAATTAGACAATAATTAAAATTGTATGAGTGATTAGTTGTAGGATCACTCATCAAAATGAGATCCTTTACATTATTTATCGATTTATATAATACTCTGGGAATACCTCCACCCTAAGATGGTAAATATTAATTCTCCTTGTATATAAAAAATTATTTACTTGATTTTCTATAATACAAGAATTACTGAGAATAACCCCATCTTAGAGTAGGGGTATTCTCAGAAGTATTATAGAAAATCGTCAGTATGCTTATGTTTGCCATCGAATTTTTTTATTACCATTACCACTCTTAAAGTGTACACTATCTTCGCTTTCATTATGGCTATTGCTTTCACTAGATTTATGTTTGACATCAAATTTTTTATTACTATTTTGTTTGACTTTAATAGAATTTGAATCACTTTAAGTATGCTCTTGCTATTCTGCATGACTTGAACTCGAACTAACTTTATATTTGATGATGTTTGTCAAGTCTGGTTCCCTGACTACTGACGATGAATATCATCCACGTATTGATGATAAGAAATAAGGATTTTTCGCAATACTACGAGGAATACCCTCCTTCCTAAGATGGTAATTACTAATTCTCCTCGTATATAGAAACTTTGCACACTGAAATCGATAGCCATGATGAAAGCGATGAAGGCAGTATCCACTTTAAGAGCAGCCATGGTGACGGTGACAATGGTAAATTCGATGGCCATTACAAAACTAGTGAATATGATGAAAGCCATAAAGTAACTATTAAGAAAAATGGTCATGATTGTAACGGGAAGAACAAGAACATGAAGCTGTCAATGATAAAGAAGTTGTAAACAAACACGGATGGAAAAAAGCACGGTGATGTCTCAAACATGGTGATGTTCTCAAACAAGGTGATGGTCTCAAACACAGTAATGGTCACAAACACAGTGAAGGTCACAAATACAGTGATGGTAAATTTTTTGCTTATAAAAACGGTCATGGTAATGTCTCTGTTTACGTTCACAACCACCATAGAAAACACTGGTGGGACATAAAAACTGGTTAAAAAACACCAAAAATTTCTTAGATTCCGAAGTAACTAATGGTTTGAAAACTAGTGGAACCAATGTGAATATAAAGGCGCTGGCTAGTGAAACAACTGGTACAATAAATACGCTAAAGATAATGATGATGGCAAAGACATAGATGCAGCCTAACATCATACTAAGGAACGGTGGGAACACTGGTGGAAGCAATATGGTTGGAAAAAACACTTTGCTGATAGAGGTAGTGATGATAGTGGCCTTTCCGTATCATTCAAAAAATCTTCTTACAAATCCACTCACAAATCATTCTACTCACATAAATTAGTATCACATGAAGAATTATGCTCTGATGACAAATGGTTTGAATATTGGTGAAAAGAATGTCAATCCAAAGCCTCTACATGGTGGGATACCAGGTATAATAAATACGCAAAGGATAATGAGGATGGTAAAGATTTAAATTTTAGATATCATCACACTGAAGATTGGTGGAACAATTGGTGGAAAATAGATGGCTGAAAGAAAAATTTTGCTGAAGGATTGGTTCAAATCCGATGAAGAATTCCACTCATCATAGAATTTTACTCATCACCAAAAATGTTACCTCTTTATGAGTACACTATGATAACTCACAAAAAAGGCGAACGACTAATGTATATGAAGATGCATAACAGTTTATTTCAATGAGAGAATATTCACAATAATCATGTGATGATGATTGCTAAGACAATTAACGATTAAACTTAGAATTTAACTGTATGAAGACATGGGTATCTTTGTTACCAATAAATGTAAAAGAGCAATACAACAAGGAAACTAAGGTGAGAATTCGAATATATCAAGACGAAGTCGAGGTCTAAAAGCTGTGAAAAAAGGTGAAGTCTATATATATATATATTGAGCGATGGAATGACAGGAATGTGCATTTTATTAACCATACTATAACATTCTAGAGGTTCATAGTAATGATTACCGATCTATTGTAATAAATTTTAGTAATAAATGCTTTGAAACAGTATGGGCCGCAATATGGTTAATATTTCGTGTACATTGATCTTCAACGTTTCATTAGGGGCAGTTACAAAAAAATTTTCAAATCAAAATAACTCAAAATTATGCCTATGAAATCAATTTCTGTGTCTTATAACAAAAAATATTCATGGCTCGATTTCAACTATAAATAAAATCCGGATACTGTCGCCACCGGTAACAAATAGATTACAGAATTTCAATTTTGCCCCACTCTAATATTTTTTTGCCGTAATGCCGTGGATCATTTCCAAAAAAAGAAAATAATCAGACGTGAATGGGTTGCGCCTTTGCTCGTGACCAGCGACATTTCTTTTTTGACTAAAGCAGTAAAGATTTTCATCAAAAAATTTTAAGTTGTAATCGTAAAACGGCGAGTCAGTCGCTAATCGGTCGGATTATTGGGTCGAAAGAGGCGTGTTAGATTTGGCGAGTGGTTAACTAGATTTTGGATGGGGTTTTCTTAATCGTAGAGGGGTT